AGACATTGGCATAGGAAAAGACTTTATGAACAAATCCTCAGTAGCACAGGAACTAGCACAAAGAATCAACAACTGGGGCCTTATCTTATTAAAAAGCTTCTGCACTGCAAAAGAAACCACCAACAGAGCTAAGAGACAACTTGCAATGCGGGAAAAAAGTTTTACCAGCTGCTCTTCAAACAAAGGTCTATTATCTAGAACACATAAAGAAGTACCCCCCCCAAATATAAAGACCTGATTCAAAAATGGGCATCTGAAATGAACAGACATAAAAGCAGCAAATAAATATATGAAAATATGTTCAACATCACTGGTCATTCAAGAGATGCACATGAAAACAACACTGAGATTCCACCTCACCCCAGAAAGAATGGCTGCTATCAAGAAATCAACCAATAACAAATGCTGGCGGGGTTGTGGGGAAAAAGGAACTCTTCTCCATTTTTGGTAGGAGTGCAGACTGGTGCAACGACTGTGGAAATCAAAATGGAGATACCTCAAAGAACTAGGATTAGAGGTTCCATTTGACCCAGCTATCCCTTTGCTGGGCATCTTTCCAAAAAAAAATTAAAAGAATCATACCACAGCAATATATGTGCACCCAGGTTTATAGCAGCACGGTTTGTGATAGCCAAAACTTGGAAACAGACCAATTGCCCATCGGTTGGAGACTGGATTAAGAAGTGGTTTTTCTAAAAAATGGAGTACTACTCAGCCATAAAGATTGAGAAACTAAGAGTCATTCATAGGAAAATGGATGCATATTGAGGCCATACTCTTAAGTGAAATAAATAAGACACACATGTAAATACCAAATAGTTTCTCTGGTATGAAAAATTAAGTGTAAATAAGATCCAAATTATGTAAGTGATAATGTGAAATAGGAAGAAAAGGGCTAAAGGTGTAGGGGAAGTGGGAAGGGTAGGAGAAAGGAAATAAGGGAAAAGAAAAAATATGAGAAAAGGAAAAATGGAAACAAAGCCTTTATAAATAGGGGAGGGGAGAGGGTGAAGGGAGGGCAGGGTTATGGGGAAAAATGGGAACCAAGATCTGTCATATAAAGATATAAGATCCCATTGATGACTGTAACTACTGTATACCTAAAAAGTATCAATAAACTCAATGAAAAAAAAAATAAATAAATAAAGTTAGTTTTTTCTGCGGAAATCCCAACCCACAGCCCCAGCAAGCTTGGGACAGCCCCAAGCCCAAGCAGCTATCACGCTGACTGGGGATGACAGGCTCGGCTCCTCTCTCTCTGGGCAGGGTCTAGGTAACCTCACTCTCCTACCACCAAGCAGCTGTATCTCCCGCCCCGCCACCCCTGTGGGTGCTGATCACTCTGGGCACAGCTGTCCTCAGTTTGGGACACAAGCCTGGCCACTGTCACACATGGACTCACCTCTGCAATGCTCAATGGCAGAGGGGCTATAGGGGAGACAGCATGTGCTGGGGGCCCTCCGCCAGGCAGATGCCGAGGGCACAGGGCCACCCTGTGAGTTCCAAGGGCTCACCCTTGATTGGTAGTGGCTGCAGCATCTCCCAAGTGAGTTCCTGTCCAGAAGTCCCCAGACAAGACCCAGGAGGCTGAAGGGGGCTGTAGCTATGTCGAGCTCCAAACACACCGGTGACGCCAGCCACCCATCCTCAAGGTAAACCACTCACCTCTCGGGTACAGCGGGGAACCCAAGTCTGACAATGACACCTCAGAGCCCTCCCTTCCAGCCCCCAGCCACACCTGAGAAGACCAGGGTGGCAGGGATTCAAGCCGCTCTTCCTCTAAAGGTGGCAGCAAGAGTGGTCAGCACAGGGGCACAGGCTTTAGCGATGATTCAGAGGGAAACTGTGGCAACCATGGGATCCCACACCCAGATGCCTGCCTCACTGCTCATGGGCTGCACCATGCCAGGCCCTCAAAAGCCAACACCATGAACCACAGCCTGGCTGGAGACCCAGACTTACCCCGGGGGGAGCCCGGCAAAGTACTCAGGGCTCCCCAGTAGGTCAGCGCAGGAGGATGACAAGTTCAAGCTCAGCCTGGGCGACTTAATGAGACTGTGTCTCAAAAAGTAAAAAAAGGCTTAGGGTATAGCATGCGTGAGGCCCTGAATTCAACTCCTAGTACTCACCCCTCCCCCCAGAAGGCGGAGAGTCCTGTGCTTCCTTGGTAACAGGCGACCTGCAGGAAAGCCAGCTCTGAGGGGCTGGGCTGACAGGGAAATTGAGGCCAGGCAGAGGGTGGGGCCTGAGAAGGGGGAGGAGCTGGCACAGAGGGGCAGGGCCTCGCAGAGGGCAGCACCAGCCAGCTCAGCTCAGCCGCTGGGACATTTCCTGCTGCTCCGAGGCCAAGGTGCTGCAGCACTGCCCCCAAAAGGGCCACACCTGCAACAGAAGTCAGAGCCTGGCCTGGCTGAGATCCCACAGGCCCCAAGGGCTGCCCGAGGATGGCAAGGCTCCCTGAGCAGCCGGGCAGGTGGGGCATCCAGCACAGTGGCCAGGGCGCCTCCCGCCCGGTTTCAGCAGGACCCAGGGCGGCTGTACCCCGCCTGGGATGTGGAGTGAGGGACTCACAGGTACCCTGCCCGGCCCCAGGCTTCTCCGCCACTGGGAGCAGCCTCTCTGCTTCCCACCCTCAAGCACAAATGGAAGGAGCCGGGCGCAGCTCCACGTGAAGCACTCGCCCAGAACTCACAAGGCCCTGGGTTCGTCCCCAAGCACCACAGGGAAAGGAATGAAAATACCGAGCACTGTGAAGCACCCACGTGGCAGCCTTTGCTCCGCTCCGCGCTGAGTGGGATGCCCGGCCCTTCCCAAGAAGAGCTCAGCTGTCGGGGAAATCAAACACTTGGCTGCTTCTTGTAAGAGACAAGGAAGCAGAAGTTTCGGAGAGGCAGAAGTGGGGACCCGGGAAGGGAGCCAGAGCACCAGCGACATGGGGGTGGACACCAGCTTCTTCTAGCTGGGGGGCCCTTCCTGTCCATGCCCAGAGAAGGGAGAGTGCCTACCTCAGTCGGGGAAACAGGCTCAGAAAGGCACTGCGAGTTCTCTCTGCCAGGAGGCAGCTTAGTGAGCGCCAGGTGGTGGGGTCAGAGACAGGCCCAGGAAGCAAAGTTAGCATCAGATGTAGCCAAGAGAAGGCTGAGGTGCTGGACAGCGTGGTCACAGCCAGAAGCACCCACACCTGGGGCCTTGCTGCACTCCACGCTTAGCTTGCAGCCTCTCCTGCTCTTGCTCACCCCAACCCCACTGCGTTTTCCCCCTGGCCCGGGCTCCACAAACCCAGCTGGGCAGGCACCACTGAGCACAGGGGACTCCTAGCGAGCTGGCCACAGCGTGGGCCTGGCCCTGAGCAGGAAGAGCCTCACACATCCACGTGACCCATGGCTGCTGCCGTGAAGGGAAGGCGCCAGTATTCCAGGGTAAAAGCCAACGCGGGCACGCCCACACGCTACAGGGCAGACGAACCTCCCAACAGGCTCCCGACACCAAACCGCACACAAAAGGCGACAGCATGTGGGACTCAGCCACAGGAAAACCCAGGACAGGACTCTACAAGGGTAGGCGGCGAGATAGTGCTGACCGGGAGGGAGGGGGTGAAGGGGAAGTGGGGGTGACTGATGCGTATAGGGCTCTTTTGGGGGTGGTAAAAAACGCTCCAAAATTGGAGCAATAGTTTCACAACTCTGGGAAAACCACTGAACTGTACACTTGAAGTGTAAGATTGTATGGCATGTACATTATTTTTCAATCAGGCTGTTACTGATTTTAAAAAAGCGGGGACCTCAACTGCAATCACACTTGTGCTGCCTACCACCTTAAGCAGGATACTGTCCACTGCTTAAGAATCCAAAGGGAATCAAAGGTCAGAGAAAAGAGAAAATACCAGTGTCCATGTTCCTCAACTGCACAGGGCCACTGGAAGAGGCAGTTCAGGGAAAAGGCTCAAAATGGCTCTTGGCAACAGCATCTGTCCTTAGAGCAGCCATGGGCTATGGACAGTAACCAAAACAAAGTAACCAAAACAAAGACTCTGGACACACAAAAATGTGCCCCACGTGGGGACAGCAGGACTCATTATTACCACATTGCAGAACCAAATGTGTAAGAGCCCTCCCAGGCAGAGGAGCTGATAGGGATCCACTTCCGGCACAGCCCGGCTCCTCCAGGTGTCCCCTTGGGGCTGCTTGCTGCTTACCACTGCACGGATGGACCCAGAACTGTCCTCCTGCTCCTAGGCCAGAGGCACTGACTGCCAGAAAGAAGGCTGGGGCCCCAGGCCAGAGACTCAGCCCAGAGCCACACCCAGACCTGCCCTGGGATCCTTCCAGAAGCTTCTGCTAGGACAGCTGGGGTTTTCCAGCTGACTCCTCTACACAGCTGGATGTCTTGCTTTGCGTGCCCTGCTTATTTGTGCTGCAGTGACCTCAGGAGTGGACAAGGGGTGTCTGGGCCTGCTCTGTGTCAGGACACTGGCTGGGGGAGTATTAATGACATACCACGTGTGTCATTTGTGTCATTATGGGACACGATGTGCTAAACCTGGTCTGCTTAGCAGGCAATACCGGCAGGATGGGGAGAAAAACACAAAAATCCAGCCTCTCAGGAGCTCCTGGAGCCATGTGCCATGGCTACCCCTAACCAGCTAGGCTGGGACGGGCAATCACAGTGATTAGTAAGTCAGATCTGGTTCCTGGAGCAATCTAGAGGCACAGACGGAGGATTTAATTTGGGTTTCTGCTCCAGTAGTCAAGAAACTCCCAGCAGCCTTTGCTGCCCTGACAGCAGGGCAGGAGGCCGGCCTTCCTACCAGCTGGGGACACAGGCATTTGCTCCAGATCTGCCAGGAGAGCAGGTCCAGGGGCCTGGCTGAGTGGGAGTGACGGCTGTGAGCAAGCAAGGGGTTTTTCCCTCGCCTGTCACTAACAGGCCAGGCAGCCCCCGCTGGAGAAGAGGCCCCACGGAGGGAGCAAGCCTCGAGCACCCACGCTGGGCAGCCCTACCTGCAGTTCCTTGTCCGAGTACTTCTGCGGGTTTTTGCTCCCCTGGCTCTTCTTGCGGAGTTTCTTCAGCTCAGCCTGGCATTTGTCCAGAGCATCTCCTTTGCTTCTCTGCTCTGTCTGGTATTTCTTCAGTGCAGCCTGAAGGTGCACAACAGAACAGGCCCATGAGTGCCATCGGAGCAGCTCAGGAGGAGCTCCCTTCCTCCTCCTCCCTCAGCAGGCCCTGGTACAAGACTGCAGGAAGGACTTGGCAGAGATCAGAGGAGCCACAGCTGAAGACTTCAGCCCTGCCCTGCCTTAGCAGGTCTCTGCTTCCCACAGAGGAAAATCAGATCTGGGGAAGGCGTCCAGACCCATGTCCTTGTTAAGTGCAGTAAACGGGTGCAGGAACTCATAAACTTGGGGTGGTATACGCAGCCAGGAGCTGGGGCCCATAATTTTCCTCCAGCTCATGGGAAAAGAACGCAAGATAGGACAGCCCAGGGTGCCTAGGGGGCTCCAGGGGGCAGCAAGGCCATGTCATTGGCTTTACAAGTGACAGAGTGGGGGCACTGCACACAGGGTGTGAGACACAACAGGCTCACCCACAGGGTCATAGATGGGCACTAGGAACACTCAGGCCAATGGCCCTGCCTGGACAGGAAGCACAGACAGGAAGCTGATGCAGGCAGAGGGAAGGGTCCGGACACACACGAGCCCAGGAAGTGTGCTGTCCGGGGTACTTACACTCAGATACCGGGAGTCCAGCTCTACCTTCTGCTCCAGCTGCGTGAGCAGTTCATTGTGAAAAGACTTCAGCTAGATATGGAGAAAACAGACCATACTCAGCCCGGGAGCAGGAGCCCAGGACTCTGGACCCTGAGGAGCAAAGGCTGCAGGACTGAATGTGGACAGAAGTCCCAAATGCTGGATTATCTGGGTGGTCCACAGCCCCAAAGGTCCCATTTGCCTGGGAAAACAGAACCTGCCTCTCCTGAACTTCTGCCACAGAACCTTTCTGGCCCAGGCCAGCTGAGCCTGACACCTGGGCCTGGTCCTCCTCCCAGGCCCTCCTGTATCCCAGGACCCCAGGCTGTTCAGCATGGCTATGGGACCTCTGCTCCTGAGCCCAGGGCACGCCTCTGGCAGTGTGACCCCAGGACTGTGGCATAGTCCCACGTGGACTGAGGGTCAAAGCATTCAGTAGCTCTGATACCCAACTGCCCTCCACTTAAAAAGCAGGCACTGAACTCACCATCTCTTCCAGCTGGTTCTGGATCTGCCTGTGGACTTCGGCCATCTGGAAGAGAACGTCCCCTAGGAAGGCAGGGCAGCAAGAAAGAAAACAGGTTACACACACCAAACTGCCACCTTGCCCCTATCCCGAGGCAGAGCAGGACACCAGCAGGCCGTCCTGGGGACCTGTGGTCTGGGGACGACAGGAGGTTCTGCTCAGTAAGTTCCTGTTGGCTGCCTGTGACCCGAAGCAGAGGGGCTTCCAGGGGCCAGGGCTGGACAGAAGGGGTGTGGGAGGGGTGTGAAGAGGAACAAAACTCTAGGATGAAAACAGCCTCAGGAAAGAGCATCTGGCATCTTTGGGGACCGCAAATGTCTATGAAGCAAATGCTCAGGACAGAGTTGTGTGCACGCCTCCACTCGGGCACTGCTGAGGGCGCACACACGCAGGCGCCCACAACTACCCACCCAAGGTGGGCGGCTTCCTTCCACTCACTCTGCTCCTGTCAAGGCGGCGGACACAGAGAAGACCAGATGCAGAGGCCTTGGGAACTCAGGGGACAGAGAGAAGAGCCGGGAGAAGCCTCTGGGATGAGAGGCTCCCACACTTCTCTCTCTCAGCGGGACAGTGAGTCAGCAGAGCCCCACCCCAAAATCAATGCCTGTGGAACTCAGGCCCCCAGCAGGGAACGTGCAGCTGCATCTGTCCCTGAGACCCTCAGGACCAGCTGCCCCTCAGGCAAATGGCCTCAGGTCCCTTTCTGCAGACAGAGGGGCTGGAATTCAGGGGTGCAGGCAAATATTTGCTGAGCGGCCATTTCCAGGATCCAGCCCTGACCACATGCTGTGGACACAAACAACAGAACGGCCTTTTCCTGCCTGGAGCATGGGTCCTTTTCTGGTAAGCCCTGCCCCCAATTCCTGCCTGAAGGACTGACTTTCTGCTCCTATCTGGACACCGGGGGTCATATGGCCCAGGGATGGGCTCCAGACTTGAGCGGCTCGGAGCTACTGAGGAGTCCCCGGTGCCCACAGAAACCAGAACAAGGCCTCTGGAGCCATGGAGGACTAGATGACACTTCCCCCAGGAGCACAGCCAGCCCCAGGTGTCTCTGCCCCTCCTGGGAGTTTGTCTGCGCTCCAGGGAGGCCAGCTCCTCCAAGGCTGCCCCAACGCTAATGGCCACAGGGACACTGAGCACTGACGGAGGACCGGGCCCTGAACAGACAACTCTCTCAATCAGCACAACTTGCCAGGCGCGCCGGCCCCTCCCCCAGCGAGCAGGCAGAGCCGCCCAGCGGCCGGGTGGTG